ATTTTAAGGGTGCGGGTATGGAATATATTTTTACACACCCACACCCTACACCCTTCGTATAACGACTAAAATTCTGATAAAAAAATGTAATCAAAAGCACGCTGGATTTTATTTGAAAACGAAAAAAAATCTATTCATATAAGGTGAAATTAATTGAAAATGTGTTTAGTTTTGTCGTCAGATCTTGAATGCAGATAAGCTGACTTAATCTAAAATAAAGATAATAAAACCATGCATATTAGTTTGAAAAAACGTGCTTAGCTGAAAACCTACTTCTATGACCTGCAGGATTAGTATTTGTCGGTGGTGCACGCCCTGCGTTTGTGGTTCCATGTGGTTGCTGATTTGCACCGCTTGTTGAATGGGCACCTGCAATCGTTGCTGAAGTACCATCTCCAAGTAGAGCATGAGGAGTCGTACTAGCAAGTCCGTCTTTTACGCTGAATTTCTTGTCATGATCGTGATGAGGTTTATCGGAAGATGAAGACATACTTGCAGTGTGTTTTACCTTGTTGAATGAATTCGTTACTTATGTGCGTTATTGTAACTGCATCATTCTTTTTTGTTAAAATACATACCATGCCGCGTGGTCTTTAGTATGAAACGAAGCCTGAAGTGCACTCACAGAATGAAGAAGGTGAAAAGTAAAAAGTGAATTTCTAGAAATAACAACTTTTTGTATTAATCATGAGGTAGTGCTCCGAATGCTTGAGTTTCTGAGCTCAGAGAATGAGTATGGATTATACGAGTCGACCTTGAAACTACTGTGGGTGTGAGTATGTATCTTCTCTGAATTCATACCTACACCGACTCACACCCACACCCTCCCAAAATTCGAACAAAATCGGATTGATTATGGCAAATTTTCATTATATTTTAATAATAGACAATCTGAATCATCAATAAGAACCAATGACCTGTTTATGGAAGAACCGCCATTGAATAAATCTTCAAATAGAGCGCTTTGTTGCATGCGAATATTCTTTACACTAATAATAATTATGTTCGTTATAATTATTCTTCTCACTGGTGTTTTGTATGCGAGTACTCTTTTTGTTCAAGGTGCTTGTCGAGTAGCTCACGATGATCAATCATTTCTTGTACCATTTTTACTTGGTAAAGCTTATTTTATTAGTATTAATTATCTTTTTTTAAATTTATTTTAAATTAGATGAACTGCTTGGACCAGCGGAAGATAGTTTACTGATTGATGGATTAGATGTGCCAACTACAATCAAAACTATTATTAATGACTGTCAAAATCAAACTCATTTTAGTGAACACTTTTTCGATCATCATTTGGTTCCTTTGCAAGATAATGTTGTTCAAGCAATGAATCAACTTAATAAAATAATTAGTGAGCAATTCAATAGTTCAATTAAAGATATTAATATTGTATCGGATCTCGAACTTCTCGCTAATTTTTCTATGATAAGTAATTCGAGCAGCATTAAAGAGCAAGTACAACAGATTCACACGGATTTACAAACTATTAAAACGCAATTCGACCATATAGTTAGTTCAAATCCAGTATTGTCAGCAAACTTTGTTAATCAAAGTATTGATAATGTTAGTATTCAAAGATAATGAATGTTAAGCAAGAATCATTTTATTTTATTTTGATTTATTTTTTAGTTTACAGACTATGTAAAAAAAGTTCTACAGGTGACAACTGATACATGTCCTCTACCTTTGGCTACAATATATAAGGCAGATACATTGATATGCCATCAATTTGCTTCATCAATCAATGGCATATGGTTTAGTATTTTCCTCTATATGTTTTTTATCATATTTGGTCTCTGTATTTGTGGTCTTTATATTTACAAACGTTCATTTTATAATATGTATATTGACGATGAAATTCATACACTTCCTTCATATTTTTAAAATACCAAATATACTTTATGTAATGATTTAGTTCTGATTTATAGACAAGATAATACACTTACTCATATAGAATTGTTTATTATATCGCATTCATGATACATAATTTCAAATATCGTATGGTTTTGGACAAGAATAAAAATGCATTTTATCAGTTTCTTATATCTTTTATTCTCTTCTTCTAAATCAGCTAAATATATATAATTTTTATTCTACGAAATGTATAGACAGTAAAAAGATACTAGGACATCTCGAACATACTTTCCAATATTTTTTTTTTACACTTAAAGCAAACTTTATATATGTGATAAGTACCGTTATTAGTTTAGATTTTGTATGGTGTCATAGAAACGCAGAATTTATTGTTTAAAGTTAGAAATATTTTTAACGGTAAAAGCTTCGGGAACATACAATGAAATATGAGGAGAATACATATTACTACAAACACCCATAAGAGATTTTGTTTATTAGTTAATTTACAAAAAAAAAGATCAAAAGTACTCAGAGTGCAAAATGATGTCCAAACTAAGAATAGATTTAGTTTTAGTTATCCTTTGTTACGGGAATAGATATACACTCTTCAGGTTTGCCACCCCACCCCATCTAACTTGTAATACCCCCTTATCTTCGCTTTAGACATCTGTCAGTTCCTTTCACCCTCAGTTTTTGATATCTCCTTAGTTTCAAAAACACATCCTCACTGTAGATCCTTCTTCCGTTTTGATCTCCTCACTTCTACAACTCTCATTATTGTTTTCCTGTTATTTTTCTCTTCGCTTCTAAACTAAATCTATTCCTACATTTAAAAAAATTGATTTTTTATAGTTATTCTCGAACCAATGTTGGACAGTTGAGCCTTCAATTATATTCGAATTCGAATTAGATAATTCATAAGGTAAGTCATATTCTATGATTAACCGAATTGATATACTAGCCATCATCTTGAGGGTGTGATTTGAGAAAAGATAAAACCACATCCACAACTTCTATGCAAATCAAATTACAGATCCAAGAGCACAGCGTCTGGATTTGAGGTATAATTTGCGTCCTATACCTACCCAAACCTCTTTCTTTTAACTAAACTATAACCGATCGAAAACCCGCGTAAAATAGTCGATAAAGACATTTTTTTATTATGTAAAGTACTGTGTTTCTAAGATCCTAAGAGTATATATCAATAGAAAAAACAAGAAAGCACGGGAGAAAAGAGTAAAGAATAAAGTGACCAAATTAAAAATGAAGAAAGATATATATAGCAGCAGAAAAATCCATGCATAAAGAGAAAAAGAAAAAAATTAAGTTATGAAAAGAAAAGATTCTGGAGAATCGTCGAAAAGTTGAATTCATGAATCTCATAAGTAGGAACAGAAGAACGAGAGGAAATAGAACTTGATCAAGTAGAAAATAACAGTACAGACATATTATTCACGTATTTTTTAGTAGATTCTCACTCAAAAACATATTTCTAAGTGAAGATCTTTCCTCTATGATTATGCAAAGTTTATAAAATGCTTATGAAAAGATAATAGTTTAAAAGAAGTTCAATAAGCTATGAGCCTGTTCGTTACGCGATGCTCGAAAAACGTTGAAATAGGTGTGTGTATCGCGTGAATGATATTCATCTGCCATAGTACCATAATAATCATCACCATAGTATATATATTGTGAATAGTTATAACAAACAGATAGTAATATCGGAAAAGTAAGAATAGTAAATGGATACATTAGAAGAAGACCCATAAGGCGACGATAGTCTCCCTCAAGAAGTTTTACGATGCCAAGTACGAGTCGATCAAAGATTGGAATAAATGAAATAATCCCACAGAAAACTAATGCACATATCCAGAACTGTATATAGATAATAATCATAAATGTATAGGCAGCTGCCATTGGTATGACATTTGTCAAAAGATAAGGGAAGATGAGACAACCAACAAATGCGATTGTGAGGCGCGATGCCCATAGACCCACATAATAATCTATGATTTTTAAGATTTTTAACAGAGAGTATTCACCATCCTTGGGTATTTCTAGCCCGTTAACTAGAATGAAACTTTTGGTCACAAAAAGCCAGAAAAAGGAACAATAAGAGACAAATATATAGTTATAGAGACGATAGCCAAATGCATTATAACAGTTCCATATAGTGGCATATTGAGCCTGCATGCACGATGATTGTATATAGCAATACCAAATTGCATGTCCCAATAAGGGTAGAGAGTGAAAGAAACAGTCAAAACTATCAAATTTCAATTTGCGAGAATATTCATTAAGTTTTTCTTCTGATTCTTCAATGTGTGGTTCGAATACTGACTGAGCTAAATGAAAGAAACGCAATAATAAATCAGTAGTCCTGATGTTGTGCAAATTAGTTGATTGAGTTGCAACATCTTTATGTTTCGAATGCTGTTTAGTAGTGCTTAGCCTTCTAGTTGGTTCTCGAGTAGTCGTGGATCGTCTCGACATCAAATAATTTTGCCAACGTACAGCTACATTTCGCACTTCTCGATATTTACTAGTTTGTATGTTGAGTACAAAACGTCCTATTGCGATTTCCTGTGTAGTAGACCATGTTCCGTAACGAATTCTATTCCACATACGTTGAAAAAGAATGTCTGTAGCAATTAATTGTAAAATCATGATCCAATAAGGTTGAATATTCATGTGATCTTGGGCTAATGTATAAAGAAGTGGATTTGCGTTTTGTAGACGTATTAGTACTGGACCTGTGATATTGTTATTGCTACTGCTTTTACCAGCATCCATATTTTCCTTTTAATCAAATAAAAATTTTTAATTCGTTATTTTTGCTAATAGAATGCAAGAAAACTATGGGTTTCGCCTAGGAAAAAACTAAACTTTTTTGATGATTGTGGGGAGAAGTGGATGTTACAACCATGATGGCTTTCGATCGAGCTGTTCCTAATGGCTGACAAAAAACCTACTAACGAATCCTGGATGTTGAGATCATTCGATTTCAAGAGCGTGCTATTCGGTTTCGTCTCAAATTCTATAGGAGCCAATTATTTGATCTAGTCACTTGGATAGCCTCAGTTTGAGTATTATCGGTTCATACCTCTCAGATATATGCCACAGACCTCAGCTTCATGTCGCATTCTGAATTAAAATTTTCTGTAACCTGCTGTCATAATGCTATATCAAAAACTGATCGGAATGGAGTATATTGAATTACTTAACCTCTCGAGCTTATTCCGCACTTAAATCTATCTAACTCAGCTTTGTGAACCAAATTCTTGACACTAAGAAGATCAGACAATGATGATCAAGTTCAATTTTTTTTTATCATTGTCAATAACTTTTCATACTAATACGAGTCTACAGCGAAGATATTGAAGAAACGACGGTATCATAATTTGTGTGTATATGTTCTTAAATAACAGATAAAGAAAATTTACTTGTAATTTTTGTTGCCGATTTCTATAAAAATTAACGAATTATGAATGCGTTTCTGTTTAATACGTAGTGAAGAATATGAGTTAATGGTGTTTTTTTCTTTTCTCGCTCGTTGGAGTATCTTTTTTTTAATCAACCGCACGTAGTTACTACACTGTTGTTTATCAAACACTAGCGTGACTGATTATGTCTATGGGTTCTTTTTTTCTATGTAAAGGTGAGTGAATATTTATCAGTGGTTTTCATCAGTCCAAATACTCGGAATTTGCTAGTCACTATTAGTGTTATTATTTTTGTTTTGACAAATAATATCATTCAAGGACAGAAAATTGCAAAACATATAATCAAAATTTGTATGAAGAAATTATGACGAACTAAAAGTGTAGTCCTCTCGTTATTCTTCATATTGATGTTTATGGAGCTGCTTCATCAGTCTGGTCATGTTCGTATCATTGCAAAAACAAGTCAGAGAAAAACACGTCAAACAGACAAAATAAAAATACAGTGTAATTTTTGATTATTCATTAAATAAAGGCCAATTTAATTTGCTTGAAAACTAGCAGATATCAATAAAAAAGAAAATTTAAATTTATTTTCTTCATGTGAGCACAATATTTCGATAATTATCGATAAAAAGTAATTATTTTAATATCAGTCAAATTTTAGTAACAAGTTTAAAGGAATTGTATTGCATCAAATAAAATAATCATCTGGATTTCTCAGGTCGAAATAGACCTTCATGAAAACGTAGCATAAAAATGATGTATACAATTTATAACAATAGTAGACAACCATTCAAAATCATCAGTTCTGTTCTGCATACGTAATGTTTTGAATATCTGTTAGTAATTTGATTTCATGTACAGCTCTATCGATAGAGACAACGACCAAACTTACTTAATAAAGTGTTATTTTTCGAATGGGTTTTAGCTCTTTTGCGCTAGGTTATCTCGTTGTACAAATTAATATTTATTACTAAAAGCTAGTTCAAAATAATTAAATACTCATTATAATTATCATTTTAAAAGATGATAAATTGACAAAATATAATAATCAGAAAGAAGAAAAAACTAAGTAAAGTTGTTTTACTAAATCTACAAGCAATAACAACACGATTTGAACCGTGTATCAATAATATTACTGTTACTACTGCTGCTTTCAATAGTTGAATCAACTTTTAATATGATATTTGCTATTACTGCGGCACTAACATCTATATCGGAAGGAACATATGCTAAAATGAGCAATGAATCAACACTATTGAATGTGCGTGAAACTTGATTTGAACTGTAAGATGAAATAGCTTGAACTAAAGTTGTATAATTATTATTGAAAAAAATTTGTCCAGTATGTGATATGTATGTTCACTTCAATAATAAATCGATTTAATAGTAGTTTGTGTTGTAAGTCTGCCATAATATCCTCGATAAATTGTATTGAATGTTACTTGAATTTGTTAGAAATGTGAATAAACACCTGCAGAATTATAATACCATAAATCAATAGCTGTATTAACGATAGCTATAAACAATTATTTGTATCGATAACAGTTAATGATAATGTGAGTAAAATATCAACTTGTAATTTCCTAGAATAATAAATGTATGATATAGTTTTATTCACTTGACAATAGTTCCAGTCAATATATACTAGATAGTTTGACGTATTAATAATCCATTATAATAATATGAGTCTTCCTCAAAATCTAGTGTTAATGTACATCTTCAAACAATGACTTTTTTATTGACTACATATTGTTGAGTAGCGTCATCTGCAAATGATTTTAATTCAAACTATATTATTATTATTATCTATAATTATAAAATTTGAAAACTGCCTACTTGAAGTAATTATAAATAGTATAACTAATGCTCAAACTAGAATGAAAAATTGTGTAAAATACATGTTTCCTTTTTGTTGTAAGTTTTCAAAGAAATATAAGACGATTGAATAACTATACTTTCATATTTTTTGCTGATATATGTCTCTTTTCTTTATAAATGTGATAAATCAAGTATGTAATCATATACAATATTTCGAATGGTTTATGAGATGAAAATAAACAGACGATATATTTTTTCACTACTAAGAATTTATTTTATTAATAATGCACAAATAACAACGCCCTTTCTTGCTTCTTCATGTAGATTTTGCTTATATCATATAGAAAAAAGAGCGTAATAACTGGTGACATAGAACGCAAATTAGCTTGTTTGTTTCGTTTTTCTATCACGTGTTTTATGCTCTCCAAAGGTTTAATATGCTAACTATAATTATTAAATTGTCCAAAGTGTAATTGATAGAATAATGATTTATGATAGTTCGTATAACTGAGAATTCGAGCAATATTATTATTGAGAATTTTCGATTGAATATTAAATATGTTTTATGATAGAGAACATGAAAAAAATCAGTAGAAAAATTACGTAAAGTCAATGATCATGAAGCAACAGACATATCATATTGGGGTATTCAAGATATCCACTATAAATAAGAACCTTTATTATGAAAAATGTTGTAAACTATGACTGAAAACATATGCTAGAGTATAGTGCGCGTAATTTTATATCGCTCCTGTTGATTTATCGTTGAGACATGTTAAAAAAATATCTAAATAAAAAATGTAACGACAAGAAAAATAAAAAGACATTCGAGTTTAAATTGATTATATTTTGTTTAGTATGTGTAATAGAATATTGAATGCATACAATATTAATTATTTGCAATCATGACGATTACATCCAGTTTATCTCATCTCTGTTCTCGTATCTATAAATACAAGACTTCACAAATTTTATCAAAAGCATACATACAAAATTAAAAATTTATTATTCTTTTTTTCAAATGATATCCGTAGCCACAATTGATGAGCTTTGAATTAGTCGAGAATAAATTATACATGATATCATGTGATAAATAAAGTGATTGGTTTGAAAAAATTAGTATTAATAAAAAAAAAGACTTCGTATGATGTTGATCTTTTAAGGATATTTCTAGTCATTTATTCTACGCTGTTATTGTTATCGTAATAGATATTGCACTCTTTAAATCGTAAATGAAAACATAAATATAATTATGTAACTCTGTATGAACATAAATTATTTTTGATTTCACCTTCTCATAAAGAAATAACTATATATTTATTTTATTTAGTTTCATTATCGTTTTATATGAAATATCTATATTATTTTGTGCATAAAAAAAGACCGAGAGGTTTTATCGATGTTGTTCTGTTATATATTCGAATATATATGTTACATATAACTTGACAACACGTGCTTATTCTTGTCTTTGCCTAGTTTTTCCGTCAATAAATATAGGTATAGATAGATGAATCTTTTTTTCTTCCTCTTTACTGACGATAGAAAATTGGTAATTATTCAGTCGAATAATAATTTCATCAGGTGAAGTATTGAATGGCCCAATTACAAGTGACAATTATCGAAGGAAAAAACTTGAAAAAGAAAGATTTATGGAGTGAAAGTGACCCATTTGTTACAATTTATTTCGATGACAAAGAACAAATACAAAAAACAAAAGTCATAAGGAATAATAAAAATCCTATGTGGAATCAAGTATTTTTCTTGTATGATTTTATCTTATTTTATTTTTTATTATTTTATTAATTTTATGTAGCAATCATTTGAAAGGTCAAAATATTCTTCATGTCGACGTCTATGATAAAGATCGAATTAGAAACGATATAATCGGTTCTATACAAATTAATTTGGAAGATTTATATGACACAGGTATTTTTCTCTAGACTTAAAATATCTTTTTTTTATTGTTAATGATAATCTATTTTTCTCAGGTCATAGTGATACTTGGTATGATCTTCCATCGAAATCTGGTAAACCATCTCATGGTGAAATCCATCTTATACTCGATTATGAATCGCTGAAGTTTTAATATTTTTATCAATAAAAAGATTTTGTTGTTCGATAATTTATTTTAATTGAAATAAAACAAGTCGCCAGAGAAAGCACTAGATCGGTAGAATCTAAAAAGCGAAAGTGCTTGGAACAGAAACCTAAACGAATAAAAAAGAATATCCATCGAACTCCAATATAAACGGTGCTACTAAAATTCTAAAGAGTTATGTAGGTAATAACTTCATACAGTCTGATTAGTCGAGACAACTGTTTTGAAAAATAAGAATTCATGTAGCTTAAAATTTGAGTCAATCTCACTTTTTTACTGAAATAAAATATTCCAAATAACTCATATTCTATGTTGTTCACCGCAAAAATATTGCTTTTCGAAAATCGTACATAAGATATTGGTTTAAATAGTAATTATTATAAATCGAGCACTACGCTAAGTATTCGTATGTGTAGCCACTAGAGATATGCAGGATTAAGCTTTTCTGGTTCCGATCGTAGCAATCTTGAGTCTAGTATGTTCTTGGTCCCGGTCCAGACTCAGCCGCTGTTCTAATATTAGTAATAGAGATTGCTAAAATATCTTACAGTATCTTTTCCCGAAGAAAGTCCTGAAAGAAATGGTTTTATTATCAAATGATAATCAATAAAGAATACTTCAAAGTATTTCTATCTATTATTTTAATAATATATAAAAACTCGTAGGTCTTCAATGAAGCCGTTTTGTAATTATATTCATTTTTGATTATTGTCACATACAACATATTTGCACAACATTGTTAAATAAAAATAAATTTGATTGTTCTTTACAAGTAAGACAAAATTTGTACTTTCTCAGTTCTTCTAGAAATGATGTATGAGAGCTGTTAAGACTGAAACTAACTGAATTATACTTTAGTACAATTAAAATGAACATAAATATAATTATTTTTATTATAATTATCTGCATAGATAAATAACTATTGCATTAAATTTATCTGTAAAGATATTATGTTCTTATTTATTCTATTTCATTTTTAAAATTTCTTTTACTACCTATATTGTCATATAGACTTTTCATAATACAATAGTGACATATTTTATCAACTATTTGATCCAGAAAATATTTATATAGAGAACAAAACGTGTGTTGTCATCATTCATCGATATAATTATTTTTCGCCTTATTTAGAATTGTCCACATGGATGTAAGTAATAATCAACAAAGGAAACGATTATGGCGACAGCATTTTCCAACTACACTTACTATTCCAATATCAATTGCTCAAATGTTTCTTACTGCGATTATTATCGGTTGTGAAATTCCTGGCATTTTTATTAATTTTCCACGAATGAATGCCTTTGTTGGATTTTGGGTATTTCCATTTTTTATCTTCGCATCGATATCATTAGCAAGTACAAGTATGCATTTTGATCTACTTAATTATTGTTACTCTATTTTTTTTTTATCAATAACTTTTGATAGGTTGTTGTTGTCGAACTCGTAGTTGTGGAGTAGCAACACTCATTTTCCAATGTTTTGCGATACCGTTTGCCTTGTGTATTGTCAGCTTTGATGCTTATTTCTTAACACATCCTACTCAATGCTTTTTTACAGATAGTTGTGATTATTATACTAGGTATTACTATTATTATTCTTACAGAAAATACATGTTTGATACTTATAGTGTTCTAGATACATCCACTTTATATAATATCAAAGTTAAGTTAATCTGGACACAATTGATAGCTGGTGCTTTAATGTTTATTTCGATTGTGTTCTCTATTACTTTATTTATAGAAGCAAATCATCGAGTTAAAAAAGATAACTCTTTAGAACAAAAATTGCCTACATCTGACACTGCTATACCTACAGCAAATCAATACACCCTTGCTGAACCTGCTACTGCTACCATGAATTCAACAGTTCAACATAATTTATCGTATAACAATACAATTCTTAACTATACATTAGGCAAACATCCTGCAAAATAATCTTTAATTCCTCGAACTTCATCAACACACAATCTTTCCATTGAACCTTTCAGAAATAAACTAGTCTCTCTTAATTGTAGAACATAGTTTTTAATAACTAACGAATACCATTTATACTTATTACAAATGTCATGGTTAGTTTTTAATCAAAACTCAGCTTCTTTTTTGATATTTTTTAACATATATGGTGACATTGTGCGTTCTGAGAAACAAATTTTATTGTATTAATACATTGTACATTAAACTTTAGGTTTTAGACAAAAAAAAAGAAATAAAACATGTGTTGTCTGAGATAATAGGTATCTGATCAAAGACTTTTGTTGTTATTGATGAAATAATCAACTCATTATAAATGTTATTCAGTCACAAAGTAAACTGATCGTAGTTTATTATGATGATGAAACGATTTAAAAATCGTAGAATTTCGAAATATTTTAGAATACGGTTTTCATGTGTAAACAATACTACAGCAAAGATGATTTTATAAGAGAAACGACTAACATCATCAGTTTTAAAATTCAGTTGTCTTTATTTCAGATATTCGGATATATTAGTATCTATTATTAAAACGTCTGATTTATTATTATTGTAGAACATATGGAAAATGAAGATCTATGTTTTATGAAGCTACAGTAGAACCTCGCTAATGTGAACACCGCTGGTTCCTACGAAAACGTTCACAATGATGGGGTGATCATATAGGAGGGAGTTTGACTAAAATTAATCTAAATACAATTCCTTTACTATTTTCTGTACTCTCTGATCATCACTTGATACTTTTATTCAATAGTTTATCATTATTTATCACAAAATACTTTTTAATACAACTATTTTAAATAAGAAATGGAGATTTTCTTTAAATCCGCTGGAAATACTCTTGAATAGTCTTTTATTTTAAATTCTTTCCGTCAAGATATATATCGATTAGCTTAAATTGAAACTGAAGAACGAAAGAACGTAATTTTCGTTTCATTTTATTTGTTCTTGTTACATTCATAATCGTCCAAATATTCATTTTTTCTTTTAAGAATATTTGATATACTGCCAAGTGATACATGAAATTTATCCTTTAATACTCGATAAGACATTCCTTGTTCACTTTCTTTAATTAAATTAACCTTTTCTTCTAAATTTAAGTCATTTCTTACTGCCATAATTAATAGGCAGATAATGAAAGAATCTCTCTTATTGTTTCTCTTTATTCTCTTCTTTTTATATTCTGTATGGATATAGTTATATAGCCAATAAAATTCATCGAAATGTTTTTTTTAAGTGTAACGCCATCTATTATTGTTCACATTACAAGGTTCATATATACAGTCGGGCTCAAAAAAACCGTTCACATTCAGAATCAAGGGGTTTTCATATAGGAGGGGTTCAAAACCAGCAAAATATGCTCGGGCGTTCTCGAAGTATTCAGTTAAACGGGGTGTTCACAAAGGAGGGAGTTCATTATACGAGAGTTTACTGTATTTATATTGTATTCGTGGAAGGAAATAAAAAATTGTCCAGGACGATATTTACTAACAAAACAAGATAATGAACATCTTAAAGTAATTTCATCGAGTGAAGTATTAAATAATAAAATATCTATACAAATATTTGATAGTCAAATTTATTATCATATGAAAAATCTGATGGAACATTTGTTCATACTTTAAATAATATTTCTGACCTAACTGGAAAAATGAATTATTTAAATATACATTTTGATAATGAAATTCCAAACTAATAATTTATATTTAAAAATTACTTTATTTTTATTTTTTTAATATAATAAAAAATATTTGTGAATTATTTGCAAAGAAAATTAATATAAATAAATTTTGTTTTATTAATTATTACTGAAGAAAATACAGTGAACAAAAGACATAATGTAGTTATCATAAATAAGGATTTTATACAATTTTAAATATCAGTGAAAATGAGGGGCGTACTGAGATCTTCAAAGCAGGGGAAGAAACGTAAAATCTCAGTTCTTCAATCTCTAAAAGCGAGGGGGTGCA